GTTAATGTGCAAGAGTCTCTCTCCAAATGCCTGCAACAGGCAGAGCTGGGCTTTGGCCAACAGCTAGGAACTCAACCCAGGTCTCCACCATGGGTGGTAGACTCAGCTAGCTGAGCCGCTGCACCAGCTGCCTCCCAGGTTGGGTTAGCATCCTCTGTGTGCTTATGGCCACTTACAGGTCTTGTCGGAAGAAGTATCTACCCTAATCCTTTGTCCATTTTCTAATTAAGTTCTTCCTCTGGTTACTGTTGAGGTGCTCTTTGTATACTCTGAATAATGGACTTTTATTAGCTCTATGATTTTTCTCACACTGAACACAGGTAAGACATAAACAGAATGGCGACAGGGAGTTTCATACACTGCTGGGAGAGAATACTGCTGTACAGCCACACGAGGAAGCAACCTGGTAATACTTAAGTCACTGATGTGCACACCTTATACGCAACAGCTCCAATCCCAGATGCACACCCCAGAGAGATTCTGCCACTTGAGGAAAACAGAGTCACCTTAGCAACCCATCAGTGAAAAACAGTCACCAAAAAAAAAAAAAAAAATCCACATAGCATGATGCCATTTACATGCCGTTCAAAAACATGCAAAAGCAAGCAACATGTTGGGGGACTATACGATGTAAATTAGTATTATGAAGAAATGAGACACAGAGTTCTAGATGGTTGTTACGTGTGAGAGGAAGGAAGGGTACATGGGAGATTTTGATGGGATGGATAATATTCCACTTTGTAAGCACAGATTTATGTGTGACATGCAAAGACAGGTAAGCACATCTCCAAACACGTTTACATGGTGAGAACATCACAGCAACCTGAAAACCACATGCAAACCATATCACCAACTATTCTCAAGCCACTGTGGGAAATGGGGGTTTCCTGGCTAGATGTAGTTCAAGTTCTTTTCTCAGTGTGAGAGAAGAATTCAAAGCAGAGACACCGATGAAGGGTGAGAGTGAGCGTGATTTATTTAAGAGATTACTCAGAAGCGAACTCGGGCAGCAGGAGGGCTTCTCTTCTCCATGAGCACAGGGACTCTGCTGCTGTGCCCAGCGAGGTTCCAGCTGCCCCTTCATGGGGCAGGGGGTGGTGCCCTAACAGAATGGGCACAGAGTTTGGGCAGGCCTTAGTGCACACGGCGACCTCTAGGAAGGCTTTACGGCATCTCCATGCGGAGCTCAACATACACGTAGTCATCATGGTATCTGCTACATGAGAAGAGAGGCTCAGGTGCATCGTGGGAAGTGGGTGTACTAAGCCTGCAGCCACGTGGGGTCAGCCCGGAAAGGAGTGGAGTTGGTTTTGTTTGTTTTTGTTTGATTTGTGGTGAGGGGCTCCAGGACAAAGGCTGCTAGCAGTCTCCCAACTCCTCTGTTCACTACCCTGCTCCCTGCCCAGCCCACACCAAAGCCAACACGGAGCATGCTTTGTAGACCAGAGAAGACGGATTCCCTGCCCTTGTCACCTTTCTGCCCGACTCACCCCACCTCTGTGGCCCGGCGTAAATACCACCTCCACCAGGGAGCTATGTCATTTAGTCTCTCATCCTCCTCTCAATTCCCACGGTTTCTGTATCACCATGGCCCTCCTCATATAGCCCTCTTCTATCAGGGACAAGCACCTGCAGGACCGGAACCTGGGTCTCCACAGCAGCCTGGCTCACAGCACTGAAGTGTTCTGTTGATTACTGAATGAACAAATGAATTTGAAAATTCAGGCATTTCACAGTGAGGTGAGCCAAGAAATGGACCTGGCCTGGTATAAAGACCAAAACAAAACTCTGCAGCAGGGTGCCTGGCCTGGTGGTTAAGATGACCTCCTGGGGTCAGCGCCGTGGCTCACTTGGCTAATCCTCCACCTGCGGCACCGGCATCCCACATGGGTGCCAGGTTTTAGTCCCAGTTGCTCCTCTTCCAGTCCAGCTCTCTGCTGTGGCCCAAGAAGGCAATGGAGGGTGGCCCAAGTGCTTGGGCTCCTGCACCTGCGTGGGAGACCAGGAAGAAGCACCTGGCTCCTGGCTTCAGATCGGCGCAGCGCACCGGCCATAGTGGCTATTTAGGGGGTAAAACAACAGAAGGAAGACCTTTCTCTCTCTCTCTCACTGTCTATCTCTATCTGTCAAAAAAATAAATAAATAAAGATGACCTCCTGGAGTCAGGTTCTGGCTCTGCTTCTGATTCCAGCTTCCTGCTGATGCGCACCTCAGGAGGCAGTGGAGATCCCTGGCCCCAACACAGGAGACTGGGCTTCAGTTTCAGCTCCCAGTTAACAGGCATTCGGGGACTAAACCAGCAGAAAGGAGTTTTTTTCCTATCCATCTGTCTCTGCCTCTCAAAAAGAAAAATCAAAAATTATATTCCTAGGGTGGGTATCTGGCAGAGTGAAGATTGAGCTTTGGGATGCCCACATCCCATAGAAGAGTGCCTGGATGGTGTTCAATCTCTCTTCCTGCTAATGTGCCCTCGGAGGCAGCAGACGAAAGATTCAAGTACTTGGGTCCCTGCCACCCATGTGGGAGAGCTGGATGCAGTTGAAGTCTCCTGGCTTCAGCTTGGCACAGCCCCTGGCTGCTGCTGTGGGCATTTGGGGAGTAAACTGGCAGACTGAAGCCATCTCTCTTGCTCGCTCACTCTCTGTCTCTGCCTTTCAGATAAAATGAAATAAAACTTTTTAAAATAAAAACCAGGAATTTCCTTCAAAAATTTTACTCTTTGACATATAACATCAACAGTGAAAGTCTTCAACATAGCAAAGCCTAACAACTGGCTAAGATATAAATGCTAATATGCATGCACTGATCATTTCCCATGCTCACGGGGGACAGGACCAGCAGGACAGCTTCCTGACAAGTTCAGTATCATCAGAGTAGTGCACTGCTTTAGAGAGCCAATCACATACCTGGAGAACAGACAGGGCTGTAAACAGGAAAAAAAAAAAAAAAAGCATATGCCATTTCAAGACTCAAATTCAGAGCCCTTTTAGAAACTTCGGAAATATTTTATTTGCTTTCAGATACTGTAAAGATATTTATCACCTAAATGTTATGTAATTATGGCAAAAATATAACTTTTTTTTTATTTGCAAGACAGAGAGAAGGAACACTGACCTTCCACCTGCTGGTGCACTCCCACAACGGTTGGAGCTGGGCCAGGCTGAAGCCCTGAGCCTGGAACTTAATCCAGGGCTCCCAGGTGGGAGGCAGGGCCCAAGCATTTGGACCATCTCTTGTTGTCTCCTGAGTGCACATCAGCAGGAAGCTGGAATCAGGAGTGGAGTCAGGAACCGAACCCAGGCACCCCCAGAAGTGGCATCTTAGATCTTAATCCCTGCAACAAACACCTTGGCCAAAGAAATCAAACATATATGGTGGGGAAAAGAGACCACGGAGAAAGAGTAATCTCTCTCAGGAACTAGACACTACTGCTAGTAACAAGAGGGTTTCTTAACTGGCTTAATTGCTTTATTATCATCTATGCTTGAGCAAATTTCTTCCTAGCACTAATACCACAAAAACAAAACACGTGGGAGCCAGTTTACGGAATAAAAATAGTGAGCTGAGCTGAACGTGAACTTCAGACGACTAATTATAGCGTACGTATGCTCCATGTAATACTTACATTGAAAATTCATTATTTTTTTTTTAAACAGGCAGAGTGGACAGTGAGAGAGAGAGAAAGGTCTTCATTTGCCGTTGGTTCACCCTCCAAAGGCCGCCGCAGCCGGCGCACCGCGCTGATCCGATGGCAGGAGCCAGGTGCTTATCCTGGTCTCCCATGGGGTGCAGGGCCCAAGCACTTGGGCCATCCTCCACTGCACTCCCTGGTCACAGCAGAGAGCTGGCCTGGAAGAGGGGCAACTGGGACAGAATCCGGCGCCCCGACCGGGACTAGAACCCGGTGTGCCGGCGCCGCAAGGTGGAGGATTAGCCTAGTGAGCCGCAGCGCAGGCTTAAAATGGACTCATTATTTATCTGAAATTCATATTCAGACGTTACCTAGCAGCTTTATTTACAGCCAAACGACAGAGCAGTAATCAACCCAATTTCCTTACTTCGTAGCAGAAACAAAAAGCCAGAGAAAGGAAGTGGCTTGCCGAAGCTAAAACCAAAGACGAAGGAAGTGTACTTGCTTTGAGCAGAGAAAACCCAATGCACCAGGTGCACTCTGTCCATTCCTCCTCCAGTTCTTGGTCTTCTCAGAGAGGCACGAGTGGATTAGCTGCAAAGTGGGATGGTTTTCCCAACATCAAACTCCACGTCTCAGGGAATCTCTTAACAACTCCAGGCTCCAACAAAACCAACCAGGAAACTATGCATTGCTGATATAAGTTGTTTTGTATTTTTTTCCTCCTTACAAAGCACCACCTCACAGTCTGGGTAAATCAAACAGAACATCCTTTTCCCACAAACCCAGTGCTCTCCAAATCCAAAATTCTCTTGCGCTGGGGTCCCGGGACCCCGCAAATGAGCACGCTCACAGGACTCCGTGCCTCTAACGACCTGGGCCCGTGGGCGCTTTCAGTGTCCGTGGCTTTCAAAGGGTGCGTCCTAAGCCACCCACACAACCGCGCCTAAAGTCTTCCCACGGCCGGCTGGCACCTGAGCACCTAAACCAGCCCGGCAACGGGGCAGGCGTCCAGGGGCTGCAGACCTAACGCCGGCTTCTCCGCCCCCGGGGACGGCGAGCCAGGGAGGGGTCTCCATCACAAAGCACGGGGTCTTTCTCCACCCTGCGACAGAGATCAAGGACAGAAGGCTGCTCCCGACCCCAGCAAACCGACAACACACACACACACACACACACACACACACACACACACGCGTCCTCGGCTCCACGAGGAGGCAAACCGCCCCCCAATCACCACCAAGCGAGGCGAGGGTGGGGTAGGAGGCAGGGAGCCCCCTCCCCCTCCTAAAAAGGTTCATTTTCACGTTTTACTAATCGGGCTTCCAATAAGGTCTGAAGAAAGCAGCTTGCCAACGGTAACGTCCACCATGACGCCGGCTCCCCAAGTTTCGGGCTAAGAACTTCGGGCGGACAGAACGCAAACCCAAGCCAGGGCGAGCCGGGAGGAGACGGCGGCCGCGACGCGCGCGGGTCTGCAGACATCACACGGCGGACATGGGGGGTGTCCGCCCAGACTCGCACTTCACAGCCGGGGCTGCCCACACAGCCCGTCCGAGCCCGGACCTCACCTGCAGACCCCCGAGCGATCCCGCGGCCCCCCGCCGGCGGCCGCACACACCCAGACGTCACAGTCCAGGCCGGGGTCTCCACAGCCTGGCGGCAGCGCACAGCCGGGTCCCACCTGCCGCGGACCCCGCGAGCGGCAGCCACACCCCCCACCCTGGCCCTGCCCCAGGCCGCGCCGGCCCCCGGCTCGGCCCGCCCCGCCCCGCCCCGCCCCCGGCCGCGGCCCCGTCGACGGCGGGAGCTACCTCAGGTAGGCGCCGAGCTCTCGGCACGGCCGGCCCGGCCCGCCTCGGACATGCCGTAGACGCGGACGCAGCAGGGCCGCCCGTCGGCCAGCGCGGCGCCTGTTTACGCCCCTCCGCGGGGGCGGGGGGAGGAGTGGGGGAGCGCCGGCTGGTCGTCACGTGACGCCGGCGTCACGTGCCCGCCCTGGGTTGGGCGGAGAGGTTGCCCTGGCGACGGCGGCGGCGCGGTCGCCGCTTGGGGGTGCTCTGGGCAGAGCCGATGGGGCTAGGAGGGCGCTAGGCCTGGCGTCCTGGGTGACAGGGTGCACGCCTATCGGTGGTTTGGAAGCAGGAAGAGTGTTGGGCCCGGTATTAGGGTTTACAGCTCAAAGGAGAAAAAATGGGGAATGCGTCCTTAGGCAAAGCTAGTCAAGGGAAGAAGAAGTCGTAACCGTTTCGTTTGCTTTGAAGTTCACATTGTTTGCTTTCGCTTTTTTTTTTTTTTTATCCACAGTGAAAGGGGGCTGCCCACTGCCTGCCAGAGAAGGGCTTCAGGAAGGATGATGGGACTTCCAGCTTTCAATTACGTTTTAACTTTTCTGCGAAGTTTCCTCCACTGCAAAGTTTCCTCCACTGCAAATTTTCTCTCTGTGTGATATGCATCATTAAAAAGAGGTGGGGGACGCTGGCAGTGTTGTGGCCTAAGGAACTAAGCCACTTGCCTGCGATGCAGACATCCCATAGGGGCGCTGGGTGCAGTCCTGACTGCTCCAGCTCCCTGCTAATGCACCTGGGAAAGCAGAAGAACATGGCCCAGGTGCTTGGACCCCTGCCACCCACGTGGGAGACACAGATAAACTCCTGGCTTGCAGCCATTTGCAGAGTGAATCAGCAGATGGTAGTTTTATCTCTCTCTCTCTCCTCTCTTTCTCTCTCTAATGCTGCCTTTCGAATAAATAAATGTTTCTTCAAAATAAACTACATACAAGGCCGATGGTTTCTGTTTCCTGTTAAATCCATGCACGGATTGTGACCACGTCCTCTCAAATATTCCAGTCGTGTTTTGTTGTCAAGAAGTGAACTGTTGTAGCACTACCCTAGTTTCTCACATACTTAGCTAAGTTGAGGACAGGCTGTCTGGGTCAAAACAGGGGGCTTAAAATCCTACAGATTGCGGTGGACATTGTGGTGCAATGGGTTAGGTCCCCTCTGCTGCCAACATCCCATATGGGAGCACAGGTTCAAGTCCTGGCTAACTCCATTTTTTGACCCAGCTTCCTACTCATGTGCCTGGGAGGGCAGTGGAAGATGGCCCACATGACATCCCCACGGAAGCTCTAGTTGGAGTTTCAGCCGTGAACCCGGCAATGGAAGATATCACTCTCTCCCCACCCCCACTCTGTTTTTCAAATAAATAATGCCTGGTATTTAAAATATCCTGCAAATCAGTACAACAAGATCAAAACATCTTCATTTCTACAACACACCTGGAATGCACGGAGTAGAAAATACAACGATGACTGCTCTCCATAGCCATCTTTTACTGTAGCTATGAAGGCCCACCGCCACAGCCTGTTGGCGCTCTGCTTCTGAGCATTTTTCATTGATGTGCCTTATGCTAGCTCACGCCTGCTGAGCAGAAACGCTGGTTAACTGGTCTGTGGCTGTGGCATCCCGCCATCTTTCTGTAGAAAGCGGCAGAACCTTCCTAGTTCTAGAAGGATCTGTGGGTTATGCAGCAGGGCCGACAAGCAGAGCTCACGGAAGCCAAGCTCGGGTGAGATCTGTCTCAGCCTTTACTTTCTAGGCAGTTTGCTCAACCTTTCTGAGCATGTCTTCATCTGTCTAAAAGATAGTATCTGCCGACTACAGAGTAGTTACAAGATGAACAGAGATAATGCTTGCACAGCACTTGAAAGTGCCCCATACAGCCAGTGCCCAACAGCTGTTAACCTTTAGGGCGTCTGGCCAGAGGGTCACAGTGTGGGAGGTCGGAGTCCCCAGGAAAAGGGGGGTTGGCAACAAGAATGTTTCCAGGCGCTGGGTCTGGAATCTTGCCACCTGGCCACAGTGGAAGCCAGGATTACCAGCAAGGAACCAGAGCACAAACAGAAAGCAGCCTTTGCACTTAGAATGTGAGGAGGCCAGGAAGACAGCAGGTGCTCGCCGCAGGTGCATGGAGGTGACCAGGTGCTGATTCCCAGACAACTACTGGCCTTGTCACAGCAAATCCCAGATTCTTCCCACTGCTGCTAACCCACTGCCTTTCCGTAGCCTCGGTGCATGTCAGGAAATTGCCTAGCCCTACTGTGGTTTGTGGGATATAGGGAATACTCAACAAACAAGTCAGGCTTGGACCAAGTCACTGGTGTCAACCGCACCCATCACACCTAAACTCTCCACCAGATGGTCAAACATACAAACCGTGTTTCAGTTTTTAACTTGGAGTTTCACGGCAAGCAGCGAACTGTGTTGTTACCTAAGACAAAACACACTGGCAATGTGTGTGACTCCTTAATGGCTTACAGTGTGAACACAGCAGGCCTGAGACATGAGTTGCCTATCTAGAGCCAGAAATCCAGACGCTGGACATGTGGTGCTGGAGAGAAAAGACCACTAGAGGGAGCAGTCAGACGTCAGGGGAGAAGGGAAACAGGCGGCCTGCAGACCAGTTGGGAACACCACGTAGACTTTTTTTTTTTTTTTTTTAACGAGAGGAACAGGGCAATGTTGGGATCATGGACTTTCCTAGCCCACAGGCGGCAGACTCTGCGGCCATCACCATCAGGGTGGAAGGGTCCCTTGGAACCAAGCCAGCTTTCTATGATGCCTTCCAAAGAGGGTTGTTATCAGAGAGTGAGGTGGATTTGGGTGCATCAGCTCCTAAGCACCTGTCATTGCAAGTACAGTGAGGCTTGTTCCCCAAGGCTCCTGCCAGCAATCTATTTTTTTTTTAAGATTGATTTATTTGAGGCTTGCGCCGCGACTCAATACGCTAATCCTCCACCTGCGGCGCCGGCACACCGGGTTCTAGTCCCAGTCAGGGCGCCGGATTCGGTCCCGGTTGCCCCTCTTCCAGGCCAGTTCTCTGCTGTGGCCAGGGAGGGCAGTGGAGGATGGCCCAAGACCTTGGGCTCTGCACCCCATGGGAGACCAGGAGAAGCACCTGGCTCCCGCCATCTGATCAGCGCGGTGGCCATTGGAGGGTGAACCAATGGAAAAGGAAGACCTTTCTCTCTGTCTCTCTCTCTCACTGTCCACTCTTCCTGTCAAAAAAAAAAGATTTATTTATTTGAAAGACAGAGTGACAGAGGGAGACAGAGATAGATATCTTCCATCTTCTGGTTCACTCTCCCAAACGGCCACAATGGACAAGGCTGGGCCAGGCCAAACCAGGAACCTAGAACTCCATCTGGGTCTCCTAGATGGGTGACAGGGTCCCAGGTACTTGGGCCATGGTCTGATGCTTTCCCAGGCACATAGCAAGGAGCTGGATCAGAAGTGGAGCAGCTTATACCCGAACCGGTGTTCATTTGGGATGCCAGCATTGCTGGTGGCAGCTTAACCCGCTTGGTTAGATCTGTCGTTAGATACTAGTGGAAGGTCTGTTCTGATTGCTCATCGTATACAGGAAGCAGAGAGAGTGGGGGAGGGGGGTGTGCTGGTGTGACTGTTATCTGGGAGTGTGCTGCGCCCCAGCGCCCGCCCCAGCCCTGTGACTCCCCACGTGGAAGCCACCTGACTTCCATCCCTGTCTTCTACAGTCTTTCCCCCCTGCCCCTACAGAGTCACAAGATTTTGATTTTTTTTTTTCAGATCTTAAACCTCAACGGTGTCCCACTGCAGAGTAAACTCCCAGGGGCTTACCTATGGGGGTCGCCATGATCGTGGTGTCTTCCTGTGGTCCCTCACTCCCCGCGCTGCCCACCAACCTTGCTGCCTTTGCTGTGCCTTGGGTTCCTCAAAGGCAGCACGTCTGTCTCCACGTCCATGCTTCCACTGTGACGTCACTTGAAAGAGACTTTCTTAGAGAGGCTGGCTCCAGCCACCCTTTCTGAGATAGCTTTCCCACCAGTGCTCCCTGAGTTTTTATTCTCTGTCCTGCGGTCTGTGGCACAGTCACAGCTCAGAAATACCCATTTTCCAGCCATCCTAAAACCCTTGCTGTTGGGTTGTGCAACCTGAGTAGCTCTGGCCAACGGACTGTGAGCGCAAAGGGGCAGCCGTAAACCATGGTGGTGGCGGTACCCTTGATAGGACCCACTAGGGCCCCTGCACCCACGAGGGAGACCCAGAAGCTCCTGGCTCCTGGCTTCCGATCCACACAGCTCAAGCTGTTGTGGCCAACTGGGGAGGAAATCAGCAGATGGAAGACCTCTCTCTTTCTCTCTATAACTCTTTCAAATAAATAAATCTTACCAAAAAAAAAAAATGCACTAAGGCCGGCGCTGCGACTCACTAGGCTAATCCTCTGCCTGCGGTGCCAGCACACCAGGTTCTAGTCCCGGTTGGGGGACCGGATTCTGTCCCGGTTGCCCCTCTTCCAGTCCAGCTCTCTGCTGTGGCCCAGGGAGTGCGGTGGAGGATGGCCCCAGTGCTTGGGCCCTGCACCCACATGGGAGACCAGGAGAAGCACCTGGCTCCTGGCTTCAGATCAGCACGGTGCACCGGCCGCAGCGCGCCGGCCGCGGCGGCCATTGGAGGATGAACAACGGCAAAAGGAAGACCTTTCTCTCTGTCTCTCTCTCTCACTGTCCACTCTGCCTGTCAAAAAACAAAACAAAACAAAACAAAAATTGGGTAAAGTTACCTCCTGCAGCACCAGCATCCCATATGGGCACTGGTTCAAGTCCCTGCTGCTCCTCTTCCAATCCAGCTCTCTGCTGTGGCCTGGGAAAGCAGTAGAAGATGGCCCAAGTCATTGGGCCCCTGCACCCACGTGGGAGACCTGGAGGAAGCTCCTGGTCCTGGCTTCAGATCAGCCCAGCTCTGGCTGTTGCAGCCAACTGGGGAGTGAACCAGTGGATGGAAGACCTCTCTCTCTCTCTCTCTCTCTCTCAGCCTCTCCTTCTCTCTGTGTGTAACTCTAACTTTCCAATAAATAAATAAATCTTTTAAAAAAATAATTGAACTCTAAAAAAATCTTCGTATGTGGATTAAGAATTCTAGAGCATATTGTATGTCTTTTGCAACAAAATGGATGCAATTGGAGACCATTATGCTTAGTGAAATAAGCCAGTCCTAAAAAGAGAAATATTATATATTTTCTTATCACCAGCATCTCATATAGGCTCCAGCTGCTGCACTTCTAATCCAGCTCCCTGCTATGCACTTGGAAAAGCAGCAGATTTCCAAGAACTTGGGCCCCGCCACCTATGTGAGATACCTAGATTGAGCTCCAGGCTCCCGGCTGTGGCTTGGCCGAGGTCTGGCTGTTTTGGCCATTTGGGAAGTGAACCAGTAGATGGAAAGATTCTCTCTCTCTCTGTCAATCTCTCTCCCCCCCTGCCTCCGTCTTTCAAATAAAATGACAATATTTTTTAATATTAACTGGATTAGGTCATTTGCTTTGTTGCACATTTACATAATTTCACATACCTTTTTTAAAGATGTATATATTTGTTTACATGTTTATTTATAAGTCAGGGTTACAGAGAGAGGAAAAGAGAGAGGGAGAGAGCAATCTTCCATCTACTGGTTCACTCCCCAAGCGACTGCAACATTCAAGGCTGGGCCAGGCTGAAGCCAGCAGCCAGGAGCTTCATCCAGATCTCCCATGTGGGTAGGAGGGGCTCAAGCACGTGGGCCATTGTCTGCTGCTTTCCCAGGCCATTAGCAGAGAGCTGGATTGGAAGTAGAGCAGCTGGGACATGATCCAGCCCCCATATGGGAGGCTGGTGTTGCAGGAAGTGGCTTTACCTGCTATGCCACAGTACTGGCGCTAGTTCCACATACCTCTTATTAATACTTATCAAAGCTAATTTTTAAAATTTATTTATTGATTTGAAAGGCAGAGAGGTA